GGATATTAACACCGAGCCGCAGCACTTCTTTCCAAATTATCTCCCCCGGTCGCGGCCGTCTTTCTTGTTCCCGAGGGGATTCTTTCCCTTCTGGAAGCCGGCACATCGATCCAATCCCCTTGGAGAACTAATGGGGGCGCCATGGCGCCCACTATCCGCTCATTCAGAAAAAACCCCTTAGTTTTTCCAAAATGCTTTCATAATTTCCTTCATTTCTCCAGCCCTCTCCCGGTCCTGCCGCACTCGCCTCTGTATGCATGGCCCTGGGCACAATGGGTTTGCTTCTCTGGAAGGTCTTCCATGTATGGGCTGTCTGCATGTGAGCCTTCCCTATATCTCAGATGACAAGTGAGGGGAAGCACGTCTTCCATTTTTAACTGCCGCTGTGACAGCCCATGACCAGTAAATAGCTTGTCTTGTCCCCTGAAGCTTAGATACATTTTTGTCTCAATGCCACTTTGCAGGGCCTGAGAGAATGCCTAGTGCTGTGTGCTCCCAGGTCCCACTTGGCATCTCAGTGCTAGGGACATGGCCTCCTGTATCAGAGGGGCAGTACTCATCGGTAGGTGCTCAGTATTTGTGGGATTGACTCGGGTTTAAAATATAAAATAAAAAACCCCTGTAGGTGTTAAATACAAGAAATACTATATAATGTAGTAATTATAGAGTGAAACAGTGAAGAATGTCACAGAAGAGACTTAATGGGAGCCACATTCCTTTCCTTTTAGAAATGTTATAGAAGCCACCATATATAGATGTAGAGAATTTCCCAGATTTAGTTTCCCAGAAATAATTTAAGGAGACACAATTCCTGTCCTTATAGAAGCTTTATGATATTGTTTCCTCAGAATCTTGGGGCTTACGTAGTTTGGGGCTGCAGTGTGTTTGTGGTCAGATCCGTGGGTCCAAAAGTCTGCCCTCAGATTCCTCGATGTGCTGAGAGGCCGTGCATCTGTGCCCTTGCACATCATCCTCTCAGCCCCCTCAATCCCCACGGCAGATTGGAAGGGGCTCACGGACCCAGCTGAAGCTCCTAAAGCTGCGTGTCTTCAGAAAGAGGGGACGGTCACAAACTCTGGGCTTGCTTGGGTCTTTCCCCTGCTTTCCTGCTGTTTTGGTAGTTTTGAAGCAAGTACAGGCAAGAGTCCCTGTTTTTCCTTGAAAGCATTTGGGGTTTGCTGGAAGGGAGAATAAGCTACCTGTCCCTCGTTACCTGTGCCCCTGTCTTTGATATAGGCTCAGACGAGGGCAGATTACTTTATCTTTAAGGAATACCCTAAATGAGTAACAAGCTCAAAGTGCATTTCAAGCTGGTCTTACTAGTAATTTGTAAGCTCTTAAATAGTTTGAGTTCAGGTGCCTGAGTGTGGCAGTCTTTTCTACAGGATACAGTAGTCCAGTGATAAATTGAGAGATGTATGTCAAAGGAGCTGTTGTGTGTAAGGCACCTGTGGCAGGTGAGCCCCATTAGATATTGAGACCAAAAGGCAGCAATGTGTATTGCATGAAAAACAGGACAAGATAGTTAAAAAAAGACATTATCATTTCGACCTTGTAATACTGCCCCATCTCCTTGTCTTGAGTAGGGAGATAATTTTGTGTTCTGATAAAGAGATGTATTGGAAATTAACATTATTTCATAAATGGAGGAATAGTCATGTCCTGATATTGATTTTATACAGTTGTACAAAAGTGAATAAGAACCAAATGCAGCCAAAAGTGAACAAAGAATCTCTTGGGTGTGGCCCAAAAGCCCCTCTCTTCCTTTGCCCAGACTCTCATTCGGTTGATTCACTATTTCATACTAATTTCCCCCAGCCCGTTAACGTTGAGAGACAGGTATTGGGGGTGGGAGGGACAGACAAAAGATTACTGGAGGATGGTCAGATGAATACCTGGGCAAGTGGAATTCTGGTGCACCAGTGTATGGAGGTGTCCAATTTTGTGGGTCCTGCCATGGTCATTCTGTCTGATACTGTCACTGAGTCTCTCTAGCAAAAGTGCCCACTGTATTAACCTTGAGTGTCAATAATGCTGCCTGAATTCTTGCGATTATATTTAAGAACAACTCTGATATGTGACTCAACGTTTTAAAAAGCGATGCTTCATAGTATGGGTCTTTAACATCTCTCAGGTTGAACTCCTCTTTGTTTCACAAATTCAGATAAACGAGACTGAAAGGAATGCTCCAAGTGCTGTAACTTAGGTCTACTATCACTTGGGAGTCTTTGGTAACATGATTAAAGAACATGGCAGAACTGTAGCCAAAAGATAGGTGTTAAAGTAGAATGGAAACATGTAGATTGCGTTCTCTCATTTGTTCATTTAATTTTTTTTTGTTTTTGCATAGCTAGACAGAGTTCAATCTGACAGTTAGTGGGTGCACTTGTACTTCTTGCGGTGCACTCTCAAGGGATTGTGTGCGTCATTATGAGTCTTCAAATTGCAGAGTGCGTGGGACACTCCTTTTGCACCAAACTTAATTGACACAGGCCTATGTGAATGCTTGCTCATACCGGAAACACATTTATCTTCATAAAAATATGATTAGTCAACTCTTGAGTTCATTATTCATCTGTGTGTTATTACCTGGTGACCCATTTTTCTCTTATACATGGGCCACCTGCTACCATCCTAATTTTGTGCATAATCCTATTTTCCCCGAAGAAGAGGAATTATTCTTTCAGTATTTTGATGAAATTAACAAATCTCTAGATAGTGCTTGAGGTTTTTTCCAATTACCTTTTAAGATTTTTTTGTGTGAAGTGAGGTTTGCCTTCAGTGAAGTAATTTAGCCCAGGGAATTCTTGTCATCTTGATGTGGCTGGAGTGTGTCTTCACAAAGCATCCTGTATTGCAGGAGAAAATGAAGAATTAATTAAATGAGCACCAAACCCATTTATTAGAGGAGTACGGCCTTGTTGTACTGACCATGTACAACGGTGAGGTGTCTCACTGGGTGCCTTTATTCTTGCTTTACCATACCTGTTCCTGGCTGTCAATATTGATGATGAGGCCGGTGCTGTGGCTCACTAAGCTAATCCTCTTCCTGTGGCACCAGCACCCCGGGTTCTGGTCCCGGTTGGGGTGCCAGATTCTGTCCCAGTTGCTTCTCTTCCAGTCCAGCTCTCTGCTGTGGCCCGCGAGTGCAGTGGAGGATGGCCCAAGTGCTTGGGCCCTGCACCCGCATGGGAGACCAGGAGGAAGCTCCTGGCTCCTGGCTTCGGGTCGGCACAGTGTGCCGGCCATAGCGGCCATGTTGGGGGTGAACCAACGGAAGGAAGACCTTTCTGTCTCTCTCACTGCTAACTCTGCCTGTCAAAAAAAAAAAAAAAAAAATCATTGATGATGATTGATTTGGTTGAAAACTCTAGTGGGAATCTTAGAAACCCTTTGCTTGACAGTTAATGATTTATATTTTTCCCCTATGAAAAGTGTTGTTCTAATCAGGTAAATTACTGAATTGAAGAGTTTGTCATTTTAGACAAATCATAGGTGTAATGCAGGCATTACAATTTTTTTTCTTTTTTTTTTTTTAGCTTTTGCTCTGTTGGCATTTTGGGCCAGGTAATCATTTGGGGCTGTTTGGGACCTCCTTCTGCATTTTAGGATGTTTAACAGCTTTCTAGACTTCTCTTATCAGTGGCACTATCCTCCCAAACTGTGAGAACTCAAAAATATTTCCGGATATTGCCAGATGTCTCTGGGGGCCATAACTGCCCTCAGTTGATAGCTGCTGGTCTGATGCGACTGATGGGTGGACTTGGCATTGATAACCCCTGAAAGCCCTATTCAGCCCATCTGATAGAAGAGGGGATGGGTGGCCTAATAGTGGTCAGATTTGGCTCTGCTATGGTTTAGGCCATCACCTTTGTGAATTCTTTAAACCACTGCTTCTGAAACTTTAATGTGCATATCAACCCAGGATCTTGCTAAAATGGACTGAGATTCCCAAGATCTGGAGTTTGGCATGGTGATGCTCTTGGTCCAAAAACCACCCTGTGAGTAGTAGGTGTTTTTTTAGATGAGGAGGAGGGTGGAAACCTTTCTTTGCTGTAGCTGGGACTCTAGACATGAGAGAGCCACCTGCTGGGTAGTGCTGAAGTCTAGACTCTTTCCCTGGCTTTATTCATGAGAGAGTTTATCAGAATCAGCCCAACCCTCCATTCTTTGGGGAATGTAAATAGATAATTTAGAAAAGCCTACCTGAGAACAAGTAATAGAAATCATGTTTACCTAGAATTTTTTTTTTTAATTATTTTTTTTTTTTGGACAGGCAGAGTGGACAGTGAGAGAGACAGACAGACAGAAAGGTCTTCTTTTGCCGTTGGTTCACCCTCCAATGGCCGCCGCGGCCGGCGCACCGCGCTGATCCGAGGGCAGGAGCCAGGTGCTTCTCCTGGTCTCCCATGGGGTGCAGGGCCCTAGCACTTGGGCCATCCTCCACTGCACTCCCTGGCCACAGCAGACAGCTGGCCTGGAAGAGGGGCAACCGGGACAGAATCCGGCACCCCGACCGGGACTAGAACCCGGTGTGCTGGCGCCACAAGGCGGAGGATTAGCCTAGTGAGCCGTGGCGCCGGACACCTAGAATGTTACTAAAAGGTCAGGAGAGCCTCTTTAGAAGCACAATTCTGAGGTTCAGTTCTCTGTAGAGTTACCATGATGGCCCAGGCAGTCTGGAGCATGTGCTGGGCGGGATGGGTGGACTCCAGCTGTAGAACGTTGCTTACTCTGGGGGCAGGAAATTGGAGCAAGGGCTGGGGCAAGGTGGTCGGACTAGCTGTGTCTGATAGTTTCTTCATTAATTCTGAAGCAAATAAACCTAATATTATATATTAACACCGATGGTTGATGCAATTGTGTTACCAACATTATTTTCTATACTTTTGTATATTTCAAATATTTTCTAATTAGGAATGAAAAGGTACCTGAAAAATGGATTGATTTAAGATCATGTTTTTATCAGCACCTGCCTCTGGGGAACATTTGCCTTCCTGTTCTCTGTTTCTCATAAAGGAACAGTCCTGGTATTTCCTCTTTTTCTCTTCCAGTCCAGACATCGAAGGCTTTAACCCAGAGTGCCCCAGCTCTTTTTGTATGAGATAAATATGTATTATCTAGGTGATTCTTTCATTAATAGAAAACACTATAGAGTGTGTAATCATTGTGCATCTTCGATTTCACTAGAGTCCTTTGCTGACTGCCACTTTTACCTCCCTTGACCTAATGTGTTATGTGTAACTTGTGTGTGTATGTCAATATGAAGGAACTTGAAAAAGTTCATGGCAAATGCATATTGTCATTTGAAAATCAAATTTTCAAATAAACATTTGGCATTAAGATACTTAAATTCTATTTTCTCACCAATTTTTTTGAGTTATACTTTATCTGGTAATCTACATGATGATCAAGGGATTCACATGTGGTCTGCTACTTGGTCTTGCAGTTACCATACTTTCCATTATTGAATAATTGATACTGTTTTAGGTTTAAACATATTCTGTATCATTTTATAGTACTATTTAATTCTAAGTTTGTTATCAGGCTCCTAGTCTTTTTCATGCCGTGGCAGGCTGGATACCTTATAGCTTTTTGCACCCTGACATTGGTTCTTGCCTCTCTGCCCCAACTTCATGACGTTTTAGGGGTAGGTCCTCTGCCTCTGAGTCAGATCTATCTAGGCCAGTGGCACTACAGAGCAGGTAGGTGGATTTCACAGCTGTTACTGTTCATTATTGGTCACTAACCGCATTCCCCTTGTGGTTATGTGAAAATATTTCCCTACTGGGCTTCCTGTCAGACTCTCACAGTGGCTGCCTCACCCCCTTTTCTGCTCTCCACACCTGTCTGTGACCTCTGCTGTCTCTAGGCCCTCTCCATAAGGAAGAGCGGGGCCCCTTACCTAACTTTGTCAAGAACGAATCATGTTAGACACACTTCTCAGAAGACACAGGGGGAGGGACCGGGTCTCTGAGTCCTGTCTTTCTGGTTGTCCTGTTCCCTGAGCTCTCCACAGCATTAGGTATGACTGATTGTCCCTTGTTGAAGCCTCCTGTTCCTGAGGTACACTGTATGTAGTCCTCGGCTCCTCTGTAGGACCACGCCTTTTTCCTTTGCCAAGACTTTTGCTCCTTTGCTCACTAAATCCCTGAGAACTTGTTCGCCAGGTACCATGGGAATGCTCAGGAAGTTTCCAGTCTAGGGGAGGCTGAATAGAGCGGTACTTCAGGTGTGGCAAGGGCCATCATTGAAGGAGGGAGCACGGGAGCAGAGTGAGCATCTGTCCAGCTTCAGGGATGGTGGTGTCAGGGAGACATGCCTGGATAATGTGATAATGAAGTTTGGCAAGCCAGGCCAAGAAGGGAGGGAATTTTGGGTAGGGGGAACTATAGGAACAGATGGCAAATCACAAGGGACCGTAGTGCATGGGGGAAGTGGATCAGCTACGTCCTTGGGTAATGGGGCAAAGCCTTGCCAATGACTTTGTTATCATCACTGCCATTTTACAGATTTGGAAACTAATGCTTAAAATTATTAAGCCACTCATGAAAGGCGAATAGGGCAGCTAACGCGTGGCCTGATGGGATTCAGTCTTGGATCTGATTGGCTCCAAGCTGGTGCTTTGACTCGTTTCAGTGAGGCACAAGCACGCACACAGGCCCTTCTGCATTTAGCCGCTGTTTTGTTGCAGGGAAGGTGTGCACCGTGTTTGGATCTGAGTTTTACGGTTCTTTGAGGCAAAGGGTGGATGGCTTCCGTTTCTCCAACTAGGTTCTGTAGTGTAGAGAAGAACCCCCTTTTCATTTGCTGGTTTCTACAAGTATTTAAAACAAATGTGTTTCTCATTTTGGTTTTGTTCTGTCTGCTAATGTGCAGGGAAAGGTATAGAATTGGGTTGTTCATAATGGTAATTAGCACAAATAACACTGACCTGTACATGGGAGAGACTCTGATGGGGGCAGGTAGGGGGAACCATATCTGTTGCATGTCGTTTCCATGACACTTAATGAATAAATCTTTAAAAAAGCATATTATATATTTTTAAAATATTTATTTGAAAGGCAGAATTAGAGAAGGTATGGGGGCAGATCTTCCATCCACTGGTTCACTCTGCAAGTGGCTACAATGACCGTGAATGGGCCAAGCTAAAGCCAGGAGCCAGGAGCTTCTTCTGAGTGTTCCACATGGATGCAGGGGCCCAGGAATCTGGGGCATCTTCTGCTGCTTTCCCAGGTACATCAGCGGGGAGCTAGATTGGAAGTGGAGTAGCCGGGACTTGGAACGAGTGCCTCTAAGGGATGCTGGCGCTGCAGGCTGTGGCATAACCTGCTGCGCCACAACGCTGGCCCCACCTACATTCACTTAGACTGAATTGCAGGCACCTAAAAACTTCCTTTTCCATCACAGCATAGACTCAGCTCTGTTTGGCTTTTCTATTCAGAGTCTATAACTCAGGAAAATCACACAATCTGAATCTCTTGGAGTGGGCGTTTGGTGTAGTGGTTAACTTGTCACTTGACACATTCCACATGGCAGTGCTGGTTTGAGTGCCTGCTCCTCCACTTCTGATCCAGCTTCCTGCCAGTGTGCACCCTGGGAGGCAGCAAGTGATGGCTCAGGTACTTGGGACTCAGCCACACATGTGAGAGACCTGGATTGAGTTTCTGGCTCCTGGCTTTGGTCTGGTCCAGCCTTGGAAGTTATATTTAGCAAGTTAACTACTGAATGGAAGACCTCTGTGTCTCTGCCTTTCAAATACAATCTCTAAAATAAATATTTTTAATAAATCTGAGTTTCTGCCACAAATAGAGCCAACCTTGGATTATGTGTGAGAATAGAGGGTTGG